TTACTTGATAGTTTTTATGTTTGCAACATTTTTAAATAGGAAAAACTAATAAAATTTGTTAAAAAACTAAATTTTCTCCAGAGTGCAGTAAAATTTTTTTTGTGCAACAATAAATGCCGAGTTGTTTTATTATGTACTGAAATGAAAAATTATTTAGTACTATTTTACTACTTTTTTATAGAGCTATGGGTTTGTTTACGTATGATGGGGAATATAATTGAATGAAATGGAAAATAAAACAAAAGAGAATTAAGAGTACAGAGTTGACGAATGGGAATGATGATAATGCAGTGCTTCTTCAATATCGGTAATAACGTGTTTTAACCATCTCATTGTAGGGAATTTAGAAAAATGAAAAATTGTTGGTAATTTTTTAAAGAAATTGTCTGATATCAAAAATAGTTTGCATAGAGGTATAAAATAATTTATATACTGACTTTGGAGATATTTAAATTAAAGGGAATTGCTTCAAACTCTCTTAAAAGAGGAAATTTTTGTTAAAAAAAGTTAAATGATTCAGAATTTATTGTATTTTTAAACAACAACTAAAATAAGTTTTTTCATTTGAGAATTATTTAGCATAATAAGCTTTTTATGTCGTTTATGTCAAAAAAGCCTAACATAGTTTGATTAAAATTTTTTCTTTAGCAAAATTTCGGTCAGATTCTGAGTCAATGTTTTTCTTTGAACAAAATACGTTCAGAATCCGATGGAATTTTTTTTTTCTTTATACCTATTTGTTTACATAAAAAGATTTCAATCAGAGTCTTTATAAAAAATCCGGGCTCGTTTAGAATCCGATTGAAATTTTTTTCTTGAGAAAACTTTCATTCAAAATCTCAATAAAGCTTTTACGAAAAATTTCATTCAGAATCTCCCATTCAAAAAAAAAAAAAAATCGTTTGTTTGAACTGTTTTATTCAGAATAATTTCGGTCTGTATAAAATAAAACTTTTTCCATTAGAAAAATCTGGTTTAAAATCTAATTGATTTTTTTTTTAAATTGCTACAAATATGTATTATTTTAATAAATCCTACAACACTTTTAGATATTTTTCTAATGTTTGTTTTCAAAGTTTTCTTCAAATTCAACTTATCTGAGATCTTAAAACCGATTTTGTTACATTTTGAAATTAACCCATTGCATGGCAAATGTATTTGCTACCTCAAAATGCAACCACTAAATGTAGCATATTCCTACTACTATTTACTGCAACACAGTTCATTTAGTACGCAAAAATAGCAACCATAATTACGTTTTCATTCATTATCCCAATTATTATCCGAGCAAATGAAAACGAAAATAGGAAAAAAATTTTCCAACATACTACAAATAATAAAACACCATAAATTAATATAAAATTGTGCAAAAAAAACAAAACAGTCTATCTAAAATTGTATAATTTTAAAACACTAACAAAAATGAGGAACAAAAAACCCAGAGAAAACTATGTAAAACAAATGAAACGTGGTTAGGCGATGCAAAATTATAATTGATGAAAAAAAGTTTACAAAGAAAGAAAAAAAAAATTATTAATAAAAAAGTGACAAGTGAAATATATAATTGAGTGAAGTTTAAGAAAAAAGGTGAGAAAAAAAAACAACAGACACACGCACATATAAAAGGCAAACAGCAAAGTAAAAGTATTAAATAAATTTTGAAGAAAATAATGGAGGTTGTTGGTTTTTTTTTTTGCAAAAAGAAATTTTTGTAAAAAAATGCCACTGGTTATAGAATTTTTACAAGGAAATGATTAAATTCCTGGTGTTTTTTTTACACGCAAAAAGTAATAAATAAGATTGCAACAGCAAAAAAAGATGAAATAAAAAATAATTTCAAGGTTTTGCTGCGCTGTTAACTGCGAAAAGAAAAATCGGGTAACTAGCACCAGACAGCGCAGCATATAATCATCATCGCCATCACCATATAGTCATTAGCAGTAGCTGTGTACTAGCCCAATGTAGAAAAAGTAAAAAAGTACAACATTTTAAACATATTTTAGCAGATCATGAAAAAAAAAACACAAATAAACATTTAAACGATCTCAAGCCAATAGCAATGAATGGCACAATTTGTTTTAATTTTATTTCTGGCTGTTTTTTTTCACATATTATTATGTGTGTATTTAAGTAATTTGGGTTTTTAAAAGAAAACAATAAATTTTGCTTAAATAAAAAACAATAAACATAATAATTATATTATAAATAACAAGCAAAACATTTACTAAAAATATAATACAAGAGAAAACAGAAAATTCAAGAAAAACAAATGCAAAAACAAAAAAAGTAAAAACACAAAAAAAAAATTGCACGAACAAGTGAAAAAATATTCGAAATAAAAACTAGAAAAAGTAAAAGAAATATAACAACAACCACTACTAGCAATAACAACGTTAATTTTCTATTATTGTAAAGAAAATTGAGAGAAAAAAACACAAAACTAACAACAACAAAACAATAATAATCATAGTAATTATAACGGAGATCTGTAAAGAAAACCAACAAAGCCAACAAACAAATAGCAAAAAAAAAAACAAAAACAACAAATCTACAAGAGTATTACGGCCAGTATACAAATGTAAAATCATGCTTAATAAAAAGCTCCCCTCTTTTTATCTTATGTTGTTTTTGCCATTTATTTGTTGTTTTTTTTTTTTTGGATGACATTTACAAAAAAGAGAAATCGTTATAATGTCTCCCCTCATCAGTAGAAAAATGTAACTAAAATAATAACAAAAAAATATATTAGTATTTTTGCAGCAGCATCTTATAACTTGTATACGTTTTCTAAGTTGTTGTTTTTTCACTTATTTTTACAAATTCCATTTCTCTTTTAAAATACCCAGCAGAAAAATGTTAAAAAAAGTAAATTTACATTTATTTTTACTAATATAAACAAATTTTACAAAATAGTTAAAGAATTGTGAAAAGAATACAGAAATTGTAAAAGATTCGTATTGTTGTTGTTGTTGCTGGGGTTGACAGCCCTTGGCCGAATAATTCGAGTCATTCCGTCATATCTTGTTGTTGTTGTAATAGTTAAAACTATACCTATTTCTAGTCAGTCAGCATTAATATCTAGGCCTTAAAACGGTGCTAATTCAACAGGATAAATCCATTGGATCTAGACGTCAAGGTCTATGCGCGAACAATAGTCATTAAGTCTGTTGCCCCATGTCGTTCTTCCCGGCTGGTTTTCTTCCGTATCTGCATTGGGCGGTGGACGTACACCAAGTGCGACATTCATGGTGAATCCTGCATCCGAGGATTTGCTGGCATCTCTATGAATGTTGTTTAAAGCTAGTAATACAATGATTAATCTAATGTATCCTACTCGAGGTATGTCACGAAGAACTTCCTGACATACCTCGAGGGATGTCTGCATTGGTCGGTGGGTGTACCCCAAGCGCCAAATTCATGGTGAATCCTTCATCCGAGGAATTGCTGGCGTCTCTTTGAATGTTGTTTAAAGCTGGTAATACGATGATTGATCTAATGTATCCTGCACATAACTACTTATTCTCGTATATACGAAGAACTTCCTGACACCTCGAGGGATGTCTGTATTGGGCGGTGGGCGTACCCCAAGCACCACATTCATGCTGAACCCTGCATCCGAGGAATTGCTGGCGTCTCTATGAATGTTGTTTAAAGCTGGTAATACGATGATTAATCTAATGTATCCTGCACATAACTGTTTATTCTAGTATATAAAAAGAACTTCCTGACAAGCCTCGAGGGATGTTAAAGTTGGCATGACTCCATATGTTTCTCTTTATCTATACCCCAAATAATGTCGCTCAGTTCTATAAAGACTTTGTTTCTACTTCGCAATTTGTGCGAGATTGCAATAGCATGAGTTGAGGAAGTAAATAGAGCGTCAAATGTCAGGGCCAAGATTTTTGGGTGGTGCACGGTCGGAATTTGGGCTCCATCGACCTTCATCACATCTCATATAGTTTTCCATTGGTAACATCAGATATTTTTGAAGAAAAACTTTTTTGAGAATCCTAACGAATTTTTTTCATTATAAAAACTAAGATCAGAATCTTATCAAACTTTTTTCTGTAGCAAAATTTGGCTCAGGACCTCATCGAAATATTTCCTTAAAAAAACTAAGATCAGAATCGGTTGAACTTTTTTCTTTAGAAAAACTTGACTGATTGATCTCATTTTTAGGAAACTTTCGATCAGTTACTACAGATCTATCACTTTTAGGAAAATTTCGATATATTAATGATAGATATTTTTTTTCTAAATTTCAAACTGTAACTGTTCGATCTTTTTTTTTTGTCGATAAAAATGTCTGTCTATTACTGATTGATATTTTTTTAAGGAAAATTTTTCTTAAAAAAGATTTTATCAGTTAATGATCTTGATCTTTATTTCAAAAATTTCGATCAATAAATGTTCGATGTCTTTTTCTCAAGAAATATTTCGATCAAATAATGATCGATCTTTTCTTTAAAAATTTCGTTCAGTTAATAATCTTTTTTCATTAGTAAAATTTCGATCAGTTATAGATCACTTTTTCTTCAAAAAGATATTATCAGTCTCCATTTCTCTCTATTTCTTTGCAAAAATTTCGATCAGTTAATGATCGAAGTCTTTTTCTTAAGAACGATTTCGATCAAATTATGATCGATCTTTTCGTAATAATCTATTTTCTTTAGAAAAATTTCGCTTAATTACTGATGGTATTGTTGTTAATCTTTAGAAAAAATTTGATCAGTCGATCTCACTTAAAAATCAATTTTAAGTTTTTGGGTTAAAGGATTCAAATTATAATTTTAAGTTCTACTTTTATTTTCATTCTCTTTCATATTCTCTCTTTTATTATATTTAAATAAACGGTATTTTCGATACAATTGTTATTGTAATTTCCTTAAATTTCGTTAAATATCCCCTTATTACAACTAAAGTTTCGTTAAGTAACAAAAATTGGAGATTTCCATTAGCTTAAACCACATTCAAACAGATTTTTATATTAACTCCAATATATTTCTACTTTGCTGCTCTTGCTGTTTTGTACCTTTTTTTGTGTGTGTGTCAATTGTGTTGTTCTTTAAAAAAAACCCAAAAAAATTATGTGTTAAATTATTAAAATAAAAAAAAAAATATTTATAAATATTTTTACCCAAAAAAAAAATCGATTTAGAAAATCGTAAAAATTGTGATTTACGATAAATCCAATATTTAAAGAAAAGCTAAAATTAACCTAACAACCAACCAAGTGCTGGCATAGTTTTAAGCAAGAATTAAAACAAAAATCTACACAAATAAACTTCATCAACTTTGACATTGATTTCCTGGAGAAATTAAGGATATTTTTTATTTAAGTAACCAATTTTTTCATATTACACCAAATGTAAGTAAAAAAAGTTTTTTTATATTTTTAAAATTAAAAGCTATATATTGGAATAAATACCGTTTGAATATTGGAATTTTAAGGTTAGGTTTTATATACATATAAAAAAAACCGCCAAAGGGTCTCATAAGTTTAAGTACTTATACATTATTCTATACATTACTTTTCATTTTAATAATTTAATAAAATGACTAGACATTTTATTAAAAAAAGTAACTTGTTAAAAAAATTTGCATAATTTATATTAACACACTTTTTAAATATTGAAATTTATTCTACTATTTTCTATTTAGTATAAAATTGACTTTTTATTTTATACCTATTTCTATTTTGCTCTATTTGCAGCATCTCTCACTCTCTAGTTAATATATTTCAAGTCGTCTTCGTTGTCTGTCTTATTTCAAATTCAATGCCATTTTTTCATTACTATTGTTGTTGTATTATTAAATATAAAAATTATATTTCATCATGCGAATTTGATCGATTTGTTATCAAAACAGTTTTTTTTTATTATTTAATTTAATAACAAAATACAACAAATAAATTAGTTGCTACAACAACTTTGCGCCTTAAACTCATATATACAATTCTCATTAGCACCTTAAATGGGGATCAATATTGTTGTATAAAATTTTATCAATACTTTAACAATACAGAACTTTTAATGATTTTATTCATTCAAAATTTATTTTTTTTTATCGATATTTTTAGTGAAAATGTTTTATGATTTTGAGTGTGTTATCAAATGTTCAATTATTTATTTGTTGGTTAATTTTAAGAGCAATTTTGCAGATATTTCAGAGGTAATAATAAAATTTAGATTTTATTCTGCAAGAAGATTTATATTTAGCATAATATTTGATTTGTTCTATAGACTAGACTATAGACTAGACTATAGACTAGACTATAGACTAGACTATAGACTAGACTATAGACTAGACTATAGACTAGACTATAGACTAGACTATAGACTAGACTATAGACTAGACTATAGACTAGACTATAGACTAGACTATAGACTAGACTATAGACTAGACTACTATAGACTAGACTATAGACTAGACTATAGACTAGACTATAGACTAGACTATAGACTAGACTATGGACTAGACTATAGACTAGACTATAGACTAGACTATAGACTAGACTATGGACTAGACTATAGACTAGACTATGGACTAGACTATAGACTAGACTATAGACTAGACTATAGACTAGACTATAGACTAGACTATGGACTAGACTATAGACTAGACTATAGACTAGACTATAGACTAGACTATAGACTAGACTATAGACTAGACTATAGACTAGACTATAGACTAGACTATAGACTAGACTATAGACTAGACTATAGACTAGACTATAGACTAGACTACAGACTAGACTATAGACTGGACTATAGACTAGACTATAGACTAGACTATAGACTAGACTATAGACTAGACTATAGACTAGACTATAGACTAGACTATAGACTAGACTATAGACTAGACTATAGACTAGACTATAGACTAGACTATAGACTAGACTATAGACTAGACTATAGACTAGACTATAGACTAGACTATAGACTAGACTATAGACTAGACTATAGACTAGACTATAGACTAGACTATAGACTAGACTATAGACTAGACTATAGACTAGACTATAGACTAGACTATAGACTAGACTATAGACTAGACTATAGACTAGACTATAGACTAGACTATAGACTAGACTATAGACTAGACTATAGACTAGACTATAGACTAGACTATAGACTAGACTATAGACTAGACTATAGACTAGACTATAGACTAGACTATAGACTAGACTATAGACTAGACTATAGACTAGACTATAGACTAGACTATAGACTAGACTATAGACTAGACTATAGACTAGACTATAGACTAGACTATAGACTAGACTATAGACTAGACTATAGACTAGACTATAGACTAGACTATAGACTAGACTATAGACTAGACTAGACTATAGACTAGACTATAGACTAGACTATAGACTAGACTATAGACTAGACTATAGACTAGACTATAGACTAGACTATAGACTAGACTATAGACTAGACTATAGACTAGACTATAGACTAGACTATAGACTAGACTATTAGACTAGACTATAGACTAGACTATAGACTAGACTATAGACTAGACTATTGACTAGACTATAGACTAGACTATAGACTAGACTATAGACTAGACTATAGACTAGACTATAGACTAGACTATAGACTAGACTATAGACAGACTATGAGACTATAGACTAGACTATAGACTAGACTATAGACTAGACTATAGACTAGACTATAGACTAGACTATAGACTGACTATAGACTAGACTATAGACTAGACTATAGACTAACTATAGACTAGACTATAGACTAGACTATAGACTAGACTATAGACTAGACTATAGACTAGACTATAGACTAGACTATAGACTAGACTATAGACTAGACTATAGACTAGACTATAGACTAGACTATAGACTAGACTATAGACTAGACTATAGACTAGACTATAGACTAGACTATAGACTAGACTATAGACTAGACTATAGACTAGACTATAGATAGACCTAGACTAGACTATAGATTAGACTATAGACCAGACTAAAGACCAGATTATAGACCAGACTATATACTAAGCAATAGACTAGACTATAGACTGCACTACAGACTTGACTATAGACTACACTATTATCACTTTCAACTATGGACAGCATAGACTGAAAAAGACAATCGACTAATTAATTGAACACTATATTATTTATGGCCCTTGACCGTTATGTTATTGAAGTTGATCCACATTTCTATAACTAATTTTATTAAAAACTATTTTATGTGATTTAAGAAACAATCAAAAATACTAGATCATGTTTATTTTTGCACTTAATTTTTATGTTTTGGAAATTGTTTTTGGGAATAAATTTTTTAGGTTATGACAGATTCGTGTGTCAAACTTCCCCCTACATCTCTTAACAATTATTTTTCAATAATGTCAATGTTATTTGTTATTGTTTTTTTGCATATTTTTGTAGTTTATTTGTTTGTTTGCATTCTTCTCGTACTAAATCCTAATAAGTTTCCACTAGACAAGCGTAATGTATAAATAAAATAAAGTGACAGAAAAACTTAAATAAAAAGTTTTGCATGCGACTTGTGAATTTGTAAATTCAACAAAGTTTTAACTTGTACTCGAACACTTATAAAAATAATGATAATTTACATAATAGTTAAAAAAATAGAAAAATAAAACTTATAGATAGGGAGAGGGTTTAACGATGTTACTCGCTTATCTGAAATAATAAAAAACACACAATCATACTAAAAAATTTAAATCCAGTTAAAAAACGCCTTGCGAATATTCATATCTATACACGTGTATTGTAATCTTTTTCATACATTTTAAATGTAGATTTTAAATATTATTATTTCTTTAGTAATTTGTTAAATAAATTATTTATTTAGTACATGGCATGGATTTATTAATTGTATTTAGATCGTATTTTTTTTTCGTATTATCTTTTCTTTATTTTTTTCATATGTGTACGCGGATTATTGTACAAGTTCATACTATATATTGTTCGAATTTTTTATTCTATTGTATTGTGGATGTGTATTTTGTATTTATTTAATTTGTTAATTTTTTTTTTCATCTTCAATACGTTCGTTTTATGTTGTTGTTATTAATTTTATTGTTGCTGTTTTTCATTTTATTTGAGGTATACAGTTTTTATTTATAAAAACAATTTATTTATACATTTTTAAACATAGCAAAATAAATTTAAAATCAAATATCGAGAGATTGTAAACACTGACTGACGGATGGTCGGACACTTGCTGCTGCTATTGTCACACAATCAAACATACACAGACAGACAGTGGGGCGCTTAGTGTGAGGAATTTCTTGTTTGGTTTTTTTTTTTTTTTTGAAATAAAATTTTATTATATGAACAATTTTTATTTTTTGATTGACTCAAATTTATAAAATATTTATGAAAATAAATAAAAATTCTTATAAATATTTTAAAAAGAATATTTAATTTTATATATTATAAAATAATTTTAAAGAGAAATAATATATTAAAACATACATATTTAATGAAAATCTTTTTTAATATAATACATGTTATGTTTACTATATACCAGTCCCCCACAGCTACTATACACTGGACTATAAACTATTCTATACTATAGATTAGACTGCTGACTATAGATTATAATATAGACTAAACTATAAATTAAACAACAGACTAGACTATAGCCTAGATTAGACTACTATAGACTAGACTATAGACTAGACTGTAGACTAGACTAAAGACTAGACTATAGACTAGACTAAAGACTAGACTATAGACTAGATTATAGACTAGACTATAGACTAGAATATAGACTAGACTATAGACTACACTATAGACTAGACTATAGACAAGACTATAGACAAGACTATAGACAAGACTATAGACAAGACTATAGACAAGACTATAGACAAGACTATAGACTAGAATATAGACTAGAATATAGACTTGACTATAGACTAGACTATAGACTAGACTATAGACTAGACTATAGACTAGACTATAGACTAGACTATAGACTAGACTATAGACTAGACTATAGACTAGACTATAGACTAGACTATAGACTAGACTATAGACTAGACTAGACTAGACTAGACTAGACTATAGACTAGACTATAGACTAGACTATAGACTAGACTATAGACTAGACTATAGACTAGACTATAGACTAGACTATAGGCTAGACTATAGACTAGACTATAGACTAGACTATAGACTAGATTATAGACTAGACTATAGACTAGACTACACTATAGACTAGACTCTTAACTATGGACTACTTCGTCTATAACCCTTCTTAAAGAAATATACTGAAAGTTATAACCTCAGAATTTGGTGACTCATGTTGCAATTTATAGACGAAATGACAATCCTGTAGAAACTGTTGGATACTCATAGCTGATAAGTATACAAATCTAAAATGTGGGCGTGGATAGTAGTATAACTTATTTTTTGCTGAAATTCAATATAAAACATTTACAAATTGATATCAAATAAATGGAATATTTTTAATAGTAATTTCTTATCGTTTAAATAATAATTGAGTTAAAAGTTAACGTAATCATTGAAATGATTATCAGAATAATTTTATCAAATTATTATATTGAAAATGCAAAATAATCGTATATACATATTAAATCTCCGTTTTAATTTGTACTATAGATATTGTGAATGCACTAAAAATTTTGTTATTTACTTTAATTTTACCCTTCGAGATGACTCAATTTAAGAACAGAAAAAGCATTTTTCAAAACAAATAAAAATAAAACTGGAAATAAAATATTAAAATTACACACACTCACTCTCTTGCAATGACTTCAGGCTTTAAGGCAGCAAAGTCCGTTCCGACGTCGTCGTATGTTAACGACGACTTCGTCATTATGCAGTTTTAATACAGAACTTTGAACTCAAGACTTTACGTTTTATATTTTGTTTTTTTTTTTTTTTTTTTTTTTGTTTGTTTAAGTGTGTGGGTTTCCGTAAATTATTGTTTTTTCTTCTTATAATGTGGTTGATAATGAAATACATACTTAAGTATTTGTTTGATTTTTGTAGCCATAATGAAAAGAATTGGAGGGGTGTGTTAAATATGTTATAGAGTTGGTAACACATCGATAATATTACTCGTTCCAAACATTTTAAGCCTTTCTATGTGTCCCTACGTCCGTCTTGATACCTTGATTGATCCCAAACGAGACAAGTTCCCTTGATAAGGCGGCTCATCAGGAAATAATATGCCTGTCCGTATGTTCATAGAAAATGAAATTTTCGAAAATTGTTCATCCAGTCCTTACATGTTGTTATAATGTAGTTAAAAGTTCACACACAGCCGATTATAGAGCTCGTACTTTTTATGATGTTTTTGTTATTTTTGCCGGTCGAAAATATACATATTAAAAAATAACTGGGTAAAGAAAAATAAAAATGGTCAAAATAGAGAACAAAATTGAAAAAATAAGGTTTTTTATTTGTATTATTTTTTGTTGCTTATAACTGTAATTGACCATCAAACAAAGCCAAACAAAAGCAACAAAAAACACACAAAATAAAATACTTTGTATTTTTTATTACATTTACATTTTATTTCTCTTGTCAATATCTTCAATGCCGTTACAAAATAGAAATGGAAAACAGCACAAAAAAGGCAAAAAAAAAAAAAAAACAAATACCTACAGAAAACAAAATCATGTCTAATGAAATTGTTATTGTATGTGGATATTTGTTGCATATTTACTTACAAATTTAGAAAAAAAAATTATGTACAAAGAAATTGAAATAAAATGCAAAAAGCAGAACAAAAAAAAAACATAACACACAATAACAAAATAAATTTAGTTTAAGAAAAATAAAATCTAGATCAAGTGAAAAATGAAAACAATAACAAAAACAAAATGAGTAACAATAACCACAAACATAATACCAACCAAGACCACTTTTATTTTGCACATTCTTACTTACCCAAGTAGTAGATAGATAGATGCCAGATGTATGAATTTGTATCTTTTACAGAGAAAATTTATCGCTGCTTTAACTTGGACTAGATGTTTAGTTTTTATTTTAAAATTACTTGTTTTACTTTTTAATAGAAATTATTATTATTTTTTTTTAATTTTTTTTTGTTAATAACCAGTATTTTTGTTTATTTGCAAAGGTAAATAATGTTTTGCTTTCTTTTTACTTAAAATTCTTTTTTGGTTTAACTATTTTCTAAATTTGTTCAGATTTTTTTTTTTGTAAAATTTCCCTAATAAATTGCTTTACTTCTACTGGCAACCAGATCCCACTTACAGAAGTTTTATTGCAAAATCGATCTTTTTGACAAAATATTAAAATTTTGACTTAAAAATTAATTTTTTAGTGAAAAATCGTTTTTTTGAAAAATTTTTTTCTGAAAATCCATCTATTTATCTATCTATCTATCTATCTATCTATCTATCTATCTATCTATCTATCTATATATATGTATTATCTATCTATCTATCTATCTATCTAATCTATCTATCTATCTATCTATCTATCTATCTATCTATCTATCTATCTATCTATCTATCTATCTATCTATCTATCTATCTATCTATCTATCTATCTATCTATCTATCTATCTATCTATCTATCTATCTATCTATCTATATCTATCTATCTATCTATCTATCTATCTATCTATCTATCTATCTATCTATCTATCTATCTATCTATCTATCTATCTATCTATCTATCTATCTATCTATCTATCTATCTATCTATCTATCTATCTATCTATCTATCTACTATTCGATCAATCTTTTTGACAAAATATTAAAATTTTGACTTAAAAATTAATTTTTTAGTGAAAAATCGTTTTTTTTTTGAAAATTTTTTCTGAAAATCCATCTATCTATCTATCTATCTATCTATCTATCTATCTATCTATCTATCTATCTATCTATTGATCTATCTATCTATCTATCTATCTATCTATCTATTTATCTATTTATTTATCTATATATCTATCTATCTATCTATCTATCTATCTATCTATCTACCTATCTATCTACCTATATATCTATCTTCCTATCTATCTATCTATCTATCTATCTATCTATCTATCTATCTATCTATCTATCTATCTATCTATCTATCTATCTATCTATCTATCTATCTATCTATCTATCTATCTATCTATCTATCTATCTATCTATCTATTGATTTCAAAGGAAATCAATGGATAGATTCAAAGGAAAAACAATTAATATACCATTAATCTGTATGTAACTTTCCAAATCTAATTTTTCTTAAATTTGCCTCTCTTTTCAGATAACTACCACGACTTGTCTGTAAAAACGGACAAACAAAGACTACTACATAAATTTGTATTTATTTAAAATATTTTAACAATCTAAATTATTAGTAATTTGCAAAAAATATTAAACAAAAACTAATTAAACAATCCATCAGCTCAATCACATCTACAACAACTAAAACAGAAAAAAGAGAGAAAAACCAATAAACAAGCATCAATATGAAATATACAACAAATACAATTGAAAACCAAACCAATACTACAAATGCCAATAACAACATTAATTTAGTGACCTCATCATCAACATCCTCATCTTCGTCATCGTCAGCATCTTCCACCTCATCATGCCTGTCCACAGCATCAACGACCAATGGTGGTGGTGTTAATAACAACAACAACACCACAAATACCACCGGGAATGCATTATTCTGTGAACAGGTTAATACGGTTACAAATCTCTTCGAGAAATGGAATGATTGTGAACGTACCGTTGTTATGTATGCTCTACTCAAACGTTTACGTTATCCTAGCCTAAAATTTCTCCAATATTCCATTGATAATACTTTGACACAGAACATGGGTTCAACATCCAATCTAAGTACCGTTGTTGTAGATATGAATGCCAATAATCCATCGTATTTACAAAATCTCTTAAATGCCTATAAAACATTTCATTTGGGCGATTTAGTTGATACTCTGTCATCGTCGTCCTCTGACAAAGATTCAATGCCTTGCTATGGATCTGATTTTCAAATAACACATTGTGATGAACGCAAATTGTATAGTAAGAAAGAAGATATTTTACATGAGGTATTGAACATGTTACCTCTACTCAAGCCGGGTAATGATGAAGCTAAAATGATTTATCTGTCGTTGATACCATTGGCCGTTAAGGACACGATACGACAAATTGTACCCACTGAATTGGTGCAACAGATATTTTCGTATATGCTTATACATCCAGCGGTCTCGAGTGATGATCGCAGGTGAGTAATTATTATCAACTTTTAATTATTTTAGTATTTGAACTAGAACTGAAGTGGAACTGAACTAGAACTGAATTCTGGAACTAGAACTGAACTAGAACGGAACTAGAACTGAACTAGAACTGAACTAGAAAGGAACTAGAACTGAACTAGAAACTGAACGAGAACTGAACTAGAACTGAACTAGAATCTGAACTAGAACTGCAACTAGAAACTGAACTAGAACTGAACTAGAAACTGAACTAGAACTGAACTAGAACGGAACTAGAACTGAACGAAACTGACTAGAACTGAACTAGAAACTGAACTAGAACTGAACTAGAACTTGAACTAGAAACTGAACTAGAACTGAACTAGAACTGAACTAGAACTGAACTAGAAAAGGAAACTAGAACCTGAACTAGAACTGAACTAGAACTGAACTAGAACTGAACTAGAACTGAAATAGAACTGAACTAGACTTAACTAGAACTGAACTAGACTGAACTAGAACTGAACTAGAACTGAACTAGAACTGAACTAGAACTGAACTAGAACTGAACTAGAACTGAACTAGAACTGAACTAGAACTGAACTAGAACTGAACTAGAACTGAACTAGAACTGAAACCTAGAACTGAACTAGAACTGAACTAGAAACTGAACTAACGACTAGAACTGAACTAGAACTGACTAGACTGAATGAACTGAACTAAACTAGAACAGAACTGACCTCAGAACTAACCTAGAACTGAAATAAGAAGTGATAAAATAGACTGGAACGAAACTCTTCGTCCCTTTTGAAACCTTAATGTTTGGCTGCGCCACTTAGAGGATCAATTACAAAACCTTTAACATACTGTCACCGCTCAATATGAGTGGTGGTAGCGGTGGGATGCCAACAACACACACAAACTATATGCAAAGTCAAACATAGTCTTGTGGGTGACTCTTGCTAGATAATCCAACAATGACAACATCAGGATCATCAGTAACATCGTCATCATCGTCTGCAATGTCAATTTTCTTCGACAGCCTCCAATGTTTCGGTAGCCTCATCATCATTTGGCAACTTGACACAGAATTGTAATGCATCTACAATTTCTAACAACTCAATGATGGGATCACGCAATAATGATTGGCAAACTATACAGCCGCCAAGTAGACAGCAACAACAACAGCAGCAGCAAACACAATTGACTAAATCTGCTTTAGGTTCGGATTGGTCTTCGCTAGTGGTTAAACCCAATACAGCGATTAATAATACAAGTGTTAATGTTGTTAATGCTGGCACTAATAATAGTGGTGGTGTTGTTGGTGGCATAGTAGTTGGTACAACTATTGCCGATCAACTCTGTGATAATTTGAATGGTATTACACTGAATGATTTAGCCTCTAGTCAAAATAGTTTAGGTATCAACATTGTTGGCACCAACATTGTAGATTCGCTGGCTACGGTCGACAATAACAGTTCTTCGCTTGTCAATGGTGTGGCAGCAGCAGCTGCCTCTGCTACAGCCGCTGCCGTTACATCGGTGGCTACAACACCAAATATTTTTGGACCACAAACAAATCCAATTATTAACATAATTAATAATAACAACAATTGTAGTGGTCAGCTAAATGGTATCGATGATCATGACACTTCATTCTCAAAGAATGGTACAGAAATCTTAGATTTTGATCCAAATACAAATAATATGCAGAACTGCGATAGTTGCAGTAATAGTAGCAGCAGTAATGTGGGACAAATGCAGGTGTGTACAACTTAAATTTAAAAATAAAGAAATACTTAATATTAATTCAAAACTTTCAGCCTCACCAACAAATGGGCTATGCCTCTATATTGATGAGCAATTGTGCCGATCACTTGGATATTAATCGCTGGAATTTGGATAGTAAATTTGCTGCTTTAAAGACCCGACGTTCCAATAGTCTTACCACTCAAACCATTTCCTCCTCGGCTTCTTCCTCCAATTCATCGGTTATTACCGTCAACGACAACTGCTCCAATTCAACCGAAAATCTGGCACAATTTGCCAATAAACCACGTAGTTTTTCACTCTCCATTGAACATCATCGCGGTTCGTTGACAAATAGTGGTTCCGATACCCGTCTAGATGACTTCAAACCAAATTATATAAAATTCCAAACACGTAATGTTGGCATGTCTAGCATTGGTTTATGGTTGAAATCGCTACGTCTTCATAAATACATCGAACTTTTTAAGAATATGACCTATGAAGATATGTTGCAAATCACCGAGGAATATTTGCAAAGTTTAGGTGTTACCAAAGGTGCTTCCCATAAGTTGGCATTGTGCATTGAAAAGTTAAAGGAACGTTCGTCGCATTTGTCTAAAATGGAGCAGGAATTAATCAATGGTCAGCTTAAGCTGCAGGCAGCTGTTGAAGAGTTGGCTAATATTGTTTTGACTCCCATGAAACCGATTGAATTGGTCAATAGCAATTGTGGTGAGGATAATGTGGCTTTAATGTTTCTGAAGGTCGTCGATTTAGGTGAGTATTGATAAAACGGAAAATTTAAAGTTTTTAATAATTTTGTTAATTTTCAGTCTGCACAATTGCTCAAAAGGATCCTTATGCTGTGGTTGATGATGATAATATTAGTGTTATTCTGTGGATCTTAGATCGCTCCATACATAACGAGGCATTTGTTAATCATGTCAATCAATTAAAGGATTTAAAATTCAAACTGTCCAAATTGAAAATGTCATTAACTCCGAAAATTCATCATACCAAAAATGGTAGTAATGGAAATTTGAATAAACCAAGGTAAGTTGGATTAAAATTAAAGAAAATAAGTGGCCCATGTCTTTACTAGCCTAATCAGAAAAATTTACAATCCATTTTGAAATTATAAATAAAATAATTAAGCTGAATTGAAATTTCTTCTTACGGAATCACTAGATGAAAACTTAGATAGTTAACAAATATTTTACAAAGTTGATTCTATCTGAAAACAGTTCAGTTCTAGTTCAGCTCTAGTTCAGTTCTAGTTCAGTTCTAGTTCAGTTCTAGTTCTAGTTCAGTTCTAGTTCAGTTCTAGTTCAGTTCTAGTTCAGTTCTAGTTCAGTTCTAGTTCAGTTCTAGTTCAGTTCTAGTTCAGTTCTAGTTCAGTTCTAGTTCAGTTCTAGTTCAGTTCTAGTTCAATTCTAGTTCAATTCTAGTTCAGTTCTAGTTCAGTTTTAGTTCAGTTCTAGTTCAGTTCTAGTTCAGTTCTAGTTCAGTTCTAGTTCAGTTCTAATTCAGTTCTAGTTCAGTTCTAGTTCAGTTCTAGTTCAGTTCTAGTTCAGTTCTAGTTCAGTTCTAGTTCAGTTCTAGTTCAGTTCTAGTTCAGTTCTAGTTCAGTTCTAGTTCAGTTCTAGTTCAGTTCTAGTTCAGTTCTAGTTCAGTTCTAGTTCAGTTCTAGTTCAGTTCTAGTTCAGTTCTAGTTCAGTTCTAGTTCAGTTCTAGTTCAGTTCTAGTTCAGTTCTAGTTCAGTTCTAGTTCAGTTCTAGTTCAGTTCTAGTTCAGTTCTAGTTCAGTTCTAGTTCAGTTCTAGTTCAGTTCTAGTTCAGTTCTAGTTCAGTTCTAGTTCAGTTCTAGTTCAGTTCTAGTTCTAGTTCAGTTCTAGTTCAGTTCTAGCTCAGTTCTAGTTCTGTTCCAGTTAAGTTCTCGTTCAGTTCTAGTTCAGTTCTAGTTCAGTTCTAGTTCAGTTCTAGTTCAGTTCTAGTTCAGTTCTAGTTCAGTTCTAGTTCAGTTCTAGTTCAGTTCTAGTTCAGTTCTAGTTCAGTTCTAGTTCAGTTCTAGTTCTGTTCTAGTTCTGTTCTAGTTCAGTTCTAGTGCAGTTCTAGTTCAGTTCTAGTTCAGTTCTAGTTCAGTTCTAGTTCAGTTCTAGTTCAGTTCTAGTTCAGTTCTAGTTCAGTTCTAGTTAAGTTCTAGTTCGGTTCTAGTTCAGTTCTAATTCAGTTCTAGTTCAGTTCAAGTACAGATCTAGATCAGTTCTAGTTTAGTTATAGTTTAGTTTTAGTTCAGTTCTATTTTAGTTCTGGTTCATTTCTAGTTCAGTTCTAGTTTAATAACAGAAATCCCACTAAACTATTACTTGTAATAATTGTTTTTAGTTTTCAATTTTCCAGGTGGAATGGCAAAACACGCAAATGTGATCAAAAGAATGGCAGTAATGATCGTATAAATCATCGTAAGAATTCAAATGATATGTTGAATTTCTCCCTAAGTTGTTTGCAACAACAGCATCATCATAATCAGCAAATGCAGCAACAACAACAACAGCAGCAGCAACAACAGCAACAGATTAATGAATATGATAAATACCATAATAATAACAATAATAATAACAACAATAATAATAATAACAATAACAACAATAATCAATATAAAAATTCAGCATATCAAAACTATCAACAACAACAGCAACAAATTAAACAGCAACAACAATTGCAGCAGCAACAACAGCAATTACAACCCCAAATGTTGCAACAAAATACACATTTCCCTGCTTTGCCACAACAACAGCAGCAGCAACAACAAAATCAACAACAACAACATAGACGTTCTCTTAACAATTTAATTGTTGTCTCTGGTGGTCCCCAACAGCCTCAGAAAATGATGTTTAAACCAGGTCAAGGTATATTATCTAATACAAACATGACTAATGATGATTTAAGCATTGATATGATGAAGTCAAGCCAACAACAACAATCCCGTAAAGCCAGTTTAACTTCTTTAAACAATAGCAGCAACAGCAGTAACAGTTTAAATGCCAGCAATTTGGAAACATTGCAACAACAGCAGCAGCAGCAGTCACCTGCTACTAATGCATCTTCAATGCCAAAGAAAACCATGGCTGCTGTCGTAATGGTTAGTAATGATGATCTCATGCATACAACAGCAACACCAACAACAGTAGCAGCTGCAGCAGCTGGCTCAACAACTGCTAATGTTGCTAATCTTGCTCCACCTCCGCCACCACCCCAAATTCTTATAAACAATAATAATGCAACACAAAATACTAACAGTAATCATAATAACATGTTGCAACACCACCATCACCAACAGCAGCAGCATCATGCTCTACAACAACAGCAACAACAATTACAACTTTTAGCAGCAGCTGCTGCTGCTGTTGGCAATTCTTGTAGTCTTAATGTTGGTAGTCTTAATCCTAACAATTCTAATTCTAATAATCTAACTGGCATTGCTATTGCTGGTGGTAATAGTAGTAATAATATTGTTTGCAACAACATTTGTAGTACGAACAATAATAATTGTAGCAATAGCCATCACCACAATTCTGTTAATAATTGCTGCTGCAATTGCAACAGTCATCAATTACAAATTAATTTAAAATTACCTCCTCTTAATGAAAATTATCAACAGCATCATCACCATCATTCTCCTCCCACAATTTCAGATGTTTTGAAAACATCTCTAAATCATAATACAGATCCCTTAAATGACATAACAAGTTTGGAACAATTGGAAACTTTGTGTCTTCAAATGACCGAACAAGCTATAAATTAATTTTAGCAAAAAAAAAAAAAAAAAAACAAACAAAAGAAAAACATTAAGGAGATTTTACAATATACATATTTATAAAGTAGTTTGTTCTCTCTTTAAATAATTATTCAATTTAAAGTAACAAGTACATACATAATATTTAAACTACACACATACATACTCATACTGATTCTTAATTCATCACATTTTTATAACTTTTTTTTGGTTTAATTAAGCTTTAAGTGCAAAATGTCTATTTGTATTTAAAAAATTTGATTTGAATTCGAGAGAGAGAGAGAGAGTAGGGAAAAGTGAAGAGCAATTAATGTTGCAGTTATTTTTGAGAGTTCACATTTATTGCTTGAAATATTTGTTCAATTTTGTTGAAGTCATATGGTATTTCTTTTCTAGGAAAAATTCCTTACTCTGTTTACACTAGCTAAGTTCTTATGTGAGTTGAATATTAGAAAATCAATTACAAAGCATCAGAACTCCATTACTCTAGGAAAGGCAAAACTTTTCAAAAACAACTGATGAAAAAATACACTGCCCGAACTTATTTAATTCAGATAGAACTTGATAGTGAAGCAAAAACATTAAGTGGGGCCTGTTTGAAAACTTTAGATATTAAGGGTGAACAGTTTAGTTCTAGTTCAGTTCTGTTCCAGTTAAGATCTAGTTCGCTACTAGTTCAGTTCTATTTAAGCAACTAGTTCAGTTCTAGTACAGTTCTATTTCAGTTCTAGTTCAGTTCTAGTACAGTTCTAGTTCAGTTCTAGTTCAGTTCTAGTCAGTTCTAGTTCAGTTCTAGTTCAGTTCCTAGTTCAGTTCTAGTTCAGTTCTAGTTTCAGTTCTAGTTCAGTTCTAGTTCAGTTTCTAGTTCAGTTCTAGTTCAGTTCTAGTTCAGTTCTAGTTCAGTTCTAGTTCAGTTCTAGTTCAGTTCTAGTTCAGTTCTAGTTCAGTTCTAGTTCAGTTTCTAGTTCAGTTCTAGTTCAGTTCTAGTTCAGTTCTAGTTCAGTTCTAGTTCAGTTCTAGTTCAGTTCTAGTTCAGTTCTAGTTCAGTTCTAGTTCAGTTCTAGTTCAGTTCTAGTTCAGTTCTAGTTCAGTTCTAGTTCAGTTCTAGTTCAGTTCTAGTTCATTTCTAGTTCAGTTCTAGTTCAGTTCTAGTTCAGTTCTAGTTCAGTTCTAGTTCAGTTCTAGTTCAGTTCTAGTTCAGTTCTAGTTCATTTCTAGTTCAGTTCTAGTTCAGTTCTAGTTCAGTTCTAGTTCAGTTCTAGTTCAGTTCTAGTTCAGTTCTAGTTCAGTTCTAGTTCAGTTCTAGTTCAGTTCTAGTTCAGTTCTAGTTCAGTTCTAGTTCAGTTCTAGTTCAGTTCTAGTTCAGTTCTAGTTCAGTTCTAGTTCAGTTCTAGTTCAGTTCTAGTTCAGTTCTAGTTCAGTTCTAGTTCAGTTCTAGTTCAGTTCTAGTTCAGTTCTAGTTCAGTTCTAGTTCAGTTCTAGTTCAGTTCTAGTTCAGTTCTAGTTCAGTTCTAGTTCAGTTCTAGTTCAGTTCTAGTTCATTTCTAGTTCAGTTCTAGTTCAGTTCTAGTTCATTTCTAGTTCAGTTCTAGTTCAGTTCTAGTTCAGTTCGAGTTCAGTTCGAGTTCAGTTCTATTTCAGTTCTAGTTCAGTTCTAGTTCAGTTCTAGTTCAGTTCTAGTTCAGTTCTAGTTCAGTTCTAGTTCAGTTCTAGTTCAGTTCTAGTTCAGTTCTAGTTCAGTTCTAGTTCAGTTCTAGTTCAGTTCTAGTTCAGTTCTAGTTCAGTTCTAGTTCAGTTCTAGTTCAGTTCTAGTTCAGTTCTAGTTCAGTTCTAGTTCAGTTCTAGTTCATTTCTAGTTCAGTTCTAGTTCAGTTCTAGTTCAGTTCTAGTTCAGTTCTAGTTCTGTTCTAGTTCTAGTTCAGTTCTAGTTCAGTTCTAGTTCAGTTCTAGTTCAGTTCTAGTTCAGTTCTAGTTCAGTTCTAGTTCAGTTCTAGTTCAGTTCTAGTTCAGTTCTAGTTCAGTTCTAGTTCAGTTCTAGTTCAGTTCTAGTTCAGTTCTAGTTCAGTTCTAGTTCAGTTCTAGTTCAGTTCTAGTTCAGTTCTAGTTCAGTTCTAGTTCAGTTCTAGTTCAGTTCTAGTTCAGTTCTAGTTCAGTTCTAGTTCAGTTCTAGTTCAGTTCTAGTTCAGTTCTAGTTCATTTCTAGTTCAGTTCTAGTTCAGTTCTAGTTCAGTTCTAGTTCAGTTCTAGTTCAGTTCTAGTTCAGTTCTAGTTCAGTTCTAGTTTCTAGTTCAGTTCTAGTTCAGTTCTAGTTCAGTTCTAGTTCAGTTCTAGTTCAGTTCTAGTACAGTTCTAGTTCAGTTCTAGTTCAGTTCTAGTTCAGTTCTAGTTCAGTTCTAGTTCAGTTCTAGTTTAGTTCTAGTTCAGTTCGAGTTCAGTTCTATTTCAGTTCTAGTTCAGTTCTAGTTCAGTTCTAGTTCAGTTCTAGTTCAGTTCTAGTTCAGTTCTAGTTCAGTTCTAGTTCAGTTCTAGTTCAGTTCTAGTTCAGTTCTAGTTCAGTTCTAGTTCAGTTCTAGTTCAGTTCTAGTTTTAGTTCAGTTCTAGTTCAGTCCTAGGTCAGTTCTAGTTCAGTTCTAGTTCAGTTCTAGTTCAGTTCTAGTTCAGTTCTAGTTCAGTTCTAGTTCAGTTCTAGTTCAGTTCTAGTTCAGTTCTAGTTCAGTTCTAGTTCAGTTCTAGTTCAGTTCTAGTTCTGTTCTTGTTCAGTTCTTGTTCAGTTCCAGTACACTCTTCATAAACTAACATAGAATGAATCAGGTTACCCAAAAACCAGTAAACAATTTCCAAAATACAAATAGACATTTCAAATTAAAACAACAGAAAAAGAGAAATTACATTAGAAAGAGATTTAATTGCTGAATTGTTAGTTAATAAACACATACTTATATTATAATGCAATAATATTTTATTTGTTAATTGTATTTCCTAAAAACTTTTCAATGAAAGTTATTAGTAAAACTTTACATACATTTTAAGTTCTGTTAATTTATAACACTATTCTTTTCACAATAGTATTTAACTTTACTCATTTGAATATTATATTTATGTAATACTTTTAAATTGACCTACAACTTTCATTGTATGAAAGTGGATCTTAAACATATTACCAATTTATTAAAAATTTTCTTCAACAAGTTTTATGCTGTTACTAGGATGGTGTTTAATAGTTCTAGTTCTTTTCAATTTTTTCTAAATTTTTATTTACGTGTTGTAGTTTTTGGTTTATTTTAGAAATTTGTTTATGTAATTAGTTTAAATATTAGTAGTTGATCTATTAGTATTTTTGTTTTTCTTATGTAATTTGTCCAAGTGTAGTTTTGTGTAGTAAAAGTATTTTCTTATTTTGAAACTTAGTTGTTTTGTTAGCAATGTTTTATTATTTAAATAATTTTGTAAATTTGTCCATGATTTATGAAGTCTTATCTCAATAATTTCTTTTACTTCTTAAAGAAATTCAAAAGATTTTTAAGAAAATTTGAAGTAAAATTTCAAATTTCCTATAAAACTTTTAAAATGTTTAAAAAAATATTACAAATTTGAAATTTTCTAAAGGAAGTTGTTAAATTTTTGAAAGTTGCAAAAGAAAATTCACACCATTTAACATTTATTCTCAAAAAATTAAATTTTAATTTGCGCAATTCACTTTTCGTAGTAAATTTACAAGGGTAGCAAATGTTTTATACATTTTGTTAATCATATTATAAAGAATGATTGTCTTTAATGACTTTTTTAAAGAATAAAAGTCTTTATGGGAAATTTATCTTCGTAGTATATTTACAATAGTATAGTATATACAAATATATAGTATAGTATTTGCTACAAAACAAGAATGACTTTTTCTATAACATTACAAAGAATTTTTGAATTGCGTTTGAAAGAATCAAATTCTTTTCATTATTTTATAGAAAATCTGTCATCGTAGTAAATTTGCAACATTAACTAATTTCTTAAACTTTTTACTACAAAACTTTTTTTAATTGAATTTTAAAGCAAAAAGTATTTTTTCAATTATATTTTGAAGCATCCAAGTCTTTTATCAAAAATATTAGCAAATATTTTCTTTTGTAGTAAATTTGCAAGAGTGGCAAATGTGTTAAATCTATCCGGTACAAAAACGATGTTTTACTTTTTTGTCTAACAAAACATGTAAGATTTTTTCGGCCATTTTAAAGGGAAGAACTACTTTTTTCAATCGTATTGTAGCAGAACACACTTTTTGTAGTAAATTTGCAAGAGCAGCAATAGCATTATTATTATTTGCTGCAATAATTCTCAAACTGTTTAATCATATTTGAAAGCAATAAAGTTTTTTAGTCATATTTCCAAGGATTAAAATCTTGTTCAATTGTGTTAATGGAAATCGTCATTTGTAGTAAATTTGCAAGTGTAGCAAATGTGTTTGTAACTTTTTGCTAGAAAACATGAATGTTTTTCTTTTCTTTACTTGTTTATTTAAAAATAAACAAGTAAATCGGCTTGATTTGCTTGCCATTCATCATTTAGAAATGATTTAAGTAGAAAAACTATTTCATAGTAAATTTACCATAGTAGCTAATATATTTGCTACAATCTTTTTAAGAGTTTTTTAACTTATTTTAAAGTTTAGAAGTTTTTTAACACACTTATTTTAAAAGGATTACGCTCTTTTTTTCAATTTTAAAGGGATTCAATATTTGTAGTAAATTTACAAGAGTAGCAAATGTTTTTAAACTTTTTTGTTTCTAATCATGAAAGTATTTTATGAAAGTAAATATTTTATTTCAAAATAAACAAAATTAATTAAATCTATTGCCACTACTAGCTACTTTAGAGAGCATTTAAGTGGATAAATCATTTCGTAGTAAATTTGCAAGGGTAGCAAAAACTTTAGCTACTGTAAACCTAAGTCTTTTTTTAACTGGAAACGTATTTTTTAACTTGTTTCTAAGTTTTAAAGATTATTTCAGTTAAATTAACGGATATCACTCTTCGTAGTAAATTTGCAAGATCAGCAACAGATTAAAGCTTTTGTTAGGAAAATGTATAAGTTTTTATTTGACAGTAAAAGTTTTATTTTTAAATTAACAAGTAAAATTGCTTGATTTGCTTATCATTTATAGTTTAGACAGTATTTAAGCATATAACACATTTCGTGGTATATTTACCAGACTAGCTACTACATTAGCTACAATGTTGCTAAGATTTTCTTAAGAATATTTTATAGCTTTAACATTTTTTTGAACATATTTCAAAGGATTCTTGTCTTTATCAATTATTTTAAAGAAAATCACTTTGCGTAGTAAATTTACAAGGGAAGCAAATGTCTTAAACTTTTTAAGCTACAGAATATTTAAGTCTTTTTGAGAGTAAAGATTTTATTTTGCTAAAAACAAGTAAAAAGTGCTTGTTTTGATGGTAGTCACTAGTAATTTAAAGAAAGATTTAAGTGGAAAAGTTATTTCATAGTAAATTTGCAACAGTATCTACTATTTGAGCTTTAGTTATTTTAAGACTTTTTGGATTTATTGTAAAGATGAATCTTTTAATATATTACAAGAGGCTTAAAGAAACATTTTCAAGGAAATTTAAGAAAAATCACTTGGTGTAGTAAATTTGCAAGAGTAGTAAATCAAAGAAAACTTTTAAACAAACTTACTTTCTTGTTTGAAAAAAAAATCTTTTAAATATACTAAAATTTACTTTATTGAGGTTATGTTTAGGTTTTGTTTTCTTTTGCAACATTTCAATAATAATTTCTTTAAATAAAGTTATTGATTAATTATTATTTTAAATTTAAAATAATTCTGTTTTAAACATGTTCCTATTTGCAACACCCCCAGCATTTTTAACATTTATCTCATATTTTCTTCTTTTTTTTTTTTTTCTTCTTTCTTCATTTCATTTAGGAAAATTTGGCTAAATTTGATCAACATTTTACATTATTTTAACAAATCACTCACTCACTCACTGCTCATTAAAATTTTAATATTATAGTAGAAATTGAAGCATAATTGAAAAGGATGATGGATTAAACTAAAAGAATTGGATATATATATTTTTTGTTAAAACAACAATTTGTATTTTGATAAAAAAAAGAGACTGACTTAAATTACTTTCCGCTGAAAAAAATAAAACTATAAAAAACTTTAACAACTTTATTTAACAAACAAAAAAAGGGAAAGAAATCTTATAACGCAAAAGAGAGAGAGAAAAAAATAAGAAAACTTTTTTAATTTACTGGCAAAATTAAAAACTAAAGTTTAAACCAGAGAAACAAAGAATTGATTTCAAATCAAAAAAAATAATAAAAAAAACTAATTAATTTAATAAAATAAACATAAGAATATAATTGCTGAAGTGAAACTTTAAAAGTAGGAAAAAAAAAACACAATTTTTTTCTTTAAAACAAAACAAAAACAAAAAAAAAAATACTTTACACATATTTTTCTCCAAAACATAAAACTTTTTTCATTAACGGAATGTAATTGCTGAATTAATTAAATTAATATTTAAAAGAAAAACCAATACATTTTACATTAACAATACTTTTGATTACAAAATTAAGCTAAAACAATTTCTTTTTTTTTAACAAAAATATATTAATTTATATAGAAAATTATAGAAAAAAAAAACAAATTATTAAAAACATAAAACTAATGTTTATTTAAACTTGGATTTTAAGTTAACCATCATTAGCCCTTAAAACTACTGGGTTAGCTTTAAAGCTTAGTTTAAATAAGAGTTAATTAAACCCAGCTTAACTCTTATATAACAAAACAACTTATATAAATAAAATTAAATGCATAATTATATATAAAAACTATAATAATTAAATAATATTTAACTGACAAAAACAAAGAAAATTAAGAAAACTTAAATACGTATAACAAAAAAAAAAAAACACAAACAAATTAAATTTAATTATAAAAATTTTATTTGTCACATTATAATTTATTTAAAATTTTAATTTTGTTTTATTTTTATAATTTAACGGGCAGCCTGTTTCTTTATTTTTATTGTATTTTAATATTAAATAATCATTAAAATATTTATATAATTGCTTAAACTATATAAATATAATAATTAAATGTCTTTATATATATACTACTATATGTATGTTTGTCTTGTAATAATGTAATATTTTGTATATTTATTTTCATTTTTTTTTGTAAACCTTGTTTATATTTTCCTATAAAATACAATATATTATTTTAATATTTGCAAACAAAAAAAAAATTCTATGTATAATGTCTTAACGTTTTAAATTATATAACTTTATATTTATTTTTTAATGTATTGCAATTTTTTTTATATATATATATAAAATAATTAGGCCATGTTTTGAAAACTAAATATTATGATGATATTTTTTATTGTTTTATAATATTTTATTTTATATTTATATAAAAATGGTAATAGTTATATAAACTAATAAATTTTCATGTTTATATGCTAGTTTATTTTTGGCGATTTTTTTTCTATTAATTTATTTATCATTCGACCAGAAGTGACAGGTTTAGAATTGTTAGAAAGAAATTCAAAATAGTTTCTCTTTAAAGGGAAAAATTTTAATAACACAGGCGAACAAAATTTGTTATAAATCGACCGAAGTATTCTTTTCTAAAAAATCTAGATTTATCCACTGCATTCAGTTTTTGAAATATCGTGTCATAACCTTTAAAAATAAACCCCAGTTTACGGCCATCTTTGAGACGTTATAACAGAGTGAAGACATCTTTATTTATGAAATCTGTTACGGCATCTGAAAGTCTAATCTGTCGACTTTTATATCTCTTCGAGATACCTTGACTTAAAGTTTGAACTGACCAACCCTACAGTCGTTTAGTCTATACTTCAATGACCCGAATTATTCTGTCAAGTTCTGCCTAGTACAACAACAACAATACAACTTTCTTCTGGCAATGCTGCTCCGCATCTTTTTGGTTCTTGTCCGGATTGAATTAAACGATTCTGCACTGTTATATCTCTTTGAGATACCTATACTTACAGCAAACCGACTCTGTCATGTTCAGCCTACTACAGCAACAACAATACAATTTTATTTTGGCATTGCTGCTCAGCATTTTTCCGTTCCGTGTCAGGATTGAATTAAATGATTCTGCACAGTTTGCCTGAACTGTCTACCAACATATTTCTATTTAATTACGGTGCAACTCTTGTTTGGGCTGCTGTCATCTAAGGAAAAGCTCCGGACATCGCACCTCCAACAACATAGGCTTCCGCCCTCTCCCCTGCAATCGCAATAAAACGCAACCATATCGGCTAAAAAACTTCGATTGCACCTGGTATGATATCTTTGAGATACCTTGATTTAAAGTTTGAACTGACCAACCCTACAGCCGTTTTTCTATACTTCAATGACCCGAATTATTCTGTCAAGTTCTGCCTACTACAGCAACAACAATACAAATTTCTTCTGGCAATGCTGCTCCGCATCTTTTTGGTTCTTGTCCGGATTGAATTAAACGACTTACAGCAAACCGAATGCCGTTTGTACGTACCTGAATGACCTGAATTACTCTGTCATGTTCTGCCTACTACAGCAACAACAATACAATTTTATTTTGGTATTGCTGCTCAGCATTTTTCCGTTCCTTGTCCGGATTGAATTAAATGATTCTGCACAGTTTGCCTGAACTGTCTACCAACATATTTCTATTTAATTACGGTGCAACTCTTGTTTGGGCTGCTGTCATCTAAGGAAATGCTCCGGACATCGCACCTCCAACAACATAGGCTTCCGCCCTCTCCCCTGCAATCGCAATAAAACGCAACCATATCGGCTAAAAACCTCGATTGCACCTGGTATGATATCTTTGAGATACCTTGACTTAAAGTTTGAACTGACCAACCCTACAGTCGTTTTTCTATACTTCAATGACCCGAATTATTCTGTCAAGTTCTGCCTAGTACAACAACAACAATACAATTTTCTTCTGGCAATGCTGCTCTGCATCTTTTTGGTTCTTGTCCGGATTGAATTAAACGACTTACAGCAAACCGACTGCCGTTTGTACGTACCTGAATGACCTGAATTACTCTGTCAAGTTCTGCCCAGTACAGCAACAACAATACAATTTTATTTTGGCATTGCTGCTCAGCATTTTTCCGTTCCTTGTCAGGATTGAAGTAAATGATTCTGCACAGTTTGCCTGAACTGTCTACCAACATATTTCTATTTAATTACGGTGCAACTCTTGTTTGGGCTGCTGTCATCTAAGGAAATGCTCCGGACATCGCACATCCAATAACATAGGCTTCCGCCCTCTCCCCTGCAATCGCAAAAAAACGCAACCGTATCGGCTAAAAACCTCGATTGCACCTGGTATGATATCTATATATCTATATCCGTTTTCCGAGATAACAACAGCACAACAACATTGTGGTCTCAGCGGTGCAGAACGCGAAACTGATGAACAATTCCAGTGCAAAGTTGTAACAGATAGAACATTCTCTGAAAAGATCCCACCAGAAGTAGGTGGGGCATTGTCTTCATTATTCATAACACCGTGCACTATAGAGATTTTTCAATATCATGGTATTGTAGTTAGATGGGGGACAAACTGACATTTCGCCAATAATCTGCTGTTCAGCAGGCTACCGTCTCGACATCAGGATAGTGATATATTTCGTGCCCTAGAGAGATAAACTTTCATAGAGCTTTATAATGTATGCATTCCGCCAGTAGCCAGCTGTCCAGCAAGCATGCCATGTAGACGTCAGGACATTGTTAGACGGTGATATGCTTCTTGCCACCAGACCAAAGAGAGACGTTACTGGCGAAATATATTGACGATTCGACCTTAATGACATTGACGGATTTTGAGTAACCTCGTGAGCTCTCTTGACATCACTATAAGCAGTACTGCTCAGATCTACTGCGCAATATTGCGAGTAGTTGCTTCTCTGGGATCAGACCACTTACCCATAATCGTTTGACTAGATCGACCTAATGATTTTATCGTCTGTTAACGCCGTCAATACATTAAACAAACGACTGGCACGGCTTCAGAGAATCCACCGAATGCATGTTCAGTGATGTAATGTTTACCCCCAACGACCAACATGAAGAATAGAAGTTCCGTGAAACCGTAATTTCAGCAGCTGCTCGCTTTATATCTGATGGTCGAATATCCGTAATGCAGCCCCTCTTCCCAGCAGAAGCAGTCAGGCTTGCAGATAAAGAATTCTCATCACCCAATAAAAGAATAGATGGCTACAGTTCGATCTCTCTTCAAACCGCCAAGAAGGCTGACAGGTTCACAATTAAGTTTGCAGATATTCACATTCCAAGCGAGCGCGGAATTAAGTACCTGACTTTGGTTTTAGAAAAAGTGTAGAGTCAATCCTGTTTTAAAACCTGAATACAATTTGAGTGCTCTATAGTCGTTCGTAGTCCACTCCAATAGGAGTAAGGGTGATATCTTATGCGGGCGACTGAACTATCATGGCTTTGGGCCACAAAATTGACATGCGTTCTTAAGAATTGTTATCTCAATGAAATAAATAATTTCTTTACTGCACGTAACCTGGACGAAGGAAGTATATTTAACCCTTGGCGTGGTCGAGGCATGTCAGGAAGAATCTTCATATACACGAGAATAACATACACAGATCGCCCACCTGCCATTACTTAATTCTGACACTACTAATATCGGCATGAAGCAACAGGCTTAATGCCTATTGTTTACACATAGACTGTGCCATCCCTAACGAATGTCTAGCATTTGGTCAATGTCTCTATGATACCCACCACATATTCAACAGCTTAGCTAACCCTTTGTTCAATGAACACACCCAGTTGATGTAGCACAAGTTTTAGGCCTGAATATTGATGCTGAAATCCCAAATAAGATTATTGTATAGATTTAGCTGTTACAACAACAACAACAACACTAAAATTTTACCTCTCACATTCATATAGGAGCTATTAATCATTCAGGATTGTCATAGAATCCTATAGTTTTGAAAATTATAGGATTCTATGGAATTGATATCGACGTAAAATCCAATATTATGATTTTTTATTCGATAAAGTCTAGGACGACAATTCTGATTGATAGAATCGTCTAACTGATCGATGTAAATCACAATAAATCTTTTGGCCGCTCCAAGATTGTCAGCTGTATCAAACGAAGGCTTTTCATCAGTAAGGAAATCTTGGCAATATTGTAACAGTTATAATAACAACAATGTTCCGAGTCCATCAAATGTTCGTCGTAGAATATTTTAAGGTTACAGTACTTTACAGGTTAGTGAATTTAATAAATCGTTATCGTATTTATAATATCGATATTTTTCTTGTAATTTTGATTACTGATCAATATCACAAATTAAAACCTAAAAACTCGGGACACGATTTACTTCATTACTCCAGTGATTAAGTAAAATACATTGTAATATTTTGGGATGTTATACAAGAAATC